AGAGAAGAGAAAGAGAGTAACAAGAGAGTTGAGCCTATTGACGAGAGTAAGTACGATCGGATTCTCGAGAGTTTCGCTGAGAAGCTTGTCAAAGAGCGGTCTAACGTTGTCCCTGCTGCTGCCGCTGCTGCAACGGTTGTGATGGCTAATTCGAATGGAGGGTTTTTACATTCTGAACAACAAGTTCAGCCTCCTAACCCAGTGATCCCGCCTTGGTTAGCTACTTCTAACAATGGGAACAATGTTGTTGCAAGGCCTCCCTCGGTAACTTTGACATTATCGCCTTCCACAGTGGCTGCAGCTGCGCCTCAACCGCCAATCCCGTGGCTGCAGCAGCAACAGCCTGAGAGAGCAGAGAACGGTCCAGGGGGACTTGTGTTAGGGAGTATGATGCCGTCTTGTAGTGGGAGTAGCGAGAGTGTGTTCTTGTCAGAGCTTGTGGAGTGTTGTAGAGAGTTGGAGGAAGGGCACCGAGCTTGGGCAGACCATAAGAAAGAGGCTGCATGGAGGCTAAGAAGGCTGGAGCTGCAGCTAGAGTCAGAGAAGACGTGTAGACAAAGGGAGAAGATGGAGGAGATTGAGGCAAAGATGAAAGCTCTTAGGGAAGAGCAGAAGAACGCAATGGAGAAGATCGAAGGAGAGTACAGAGAACAGCTCGTTGGTTTGAGGCGAGACGCAGAGGCCAAAGACCAGAAACTGGCTGATCAATGGACCTCTAGGCATATCAGACTCACCAAGTTTCTTGAACAACAAATGGGTTGCAGATTAGACCGCCCCTGAACCGTCTCCTAAACTCTTTGTTGTAACTTGTAATGTAATGTAAGGTTTTTTTTTTGTTTTTTTTTGTCTTTGATCATTTGGGTGTCTCCAATGTTTACTTAGACTTTTGGGTTCCTTACCTCAGCTTTGTATTTGTTTCTTTTACCTTTGTGTTCCATTTATCACTTCAGTTTATCCATGGCTTTGTTTTCTCAAGCTTGATGTTGATTTAGTCAGCTGCAACACTTTGGTTTATAAATAAAATCGATTTATATCTTTACATGTGTAAATTCAAGTAGAAGACAGAAAACAAATTGTTACATAATAATTGAAAAATTGAAGAGGAAGAGGTGTGTACTTATTCACTCAAAAACACAGTTGCATTAGATTTTAAACCATACTACAAACAGATTACCATAAATCCATGAAAATGTATTTGGCATGAATTTCAAAACATAAGAGAACAAAAACAAAGAGCAGAATAACGGAAGATTAAAAACCCGGCTTGAGAGATGGTCGGAAAAACCCTGGCGGTGCTTCTTCTCTGAAAAATGATCAACTTTGAACTCAGAAGCACTTCCTGTGAACAATCGATGGACCTGACTCGTCATACTCTGCCTTTGCGATCCACATCTGCACAAGGTAACACATAGTTTCAGAATTGAACCAGTTTAGTTAAGCTGAGAGTGATTAGGATTTAGTTTAGGTCTGTTTAGAGTAAACAAGTGATGGGACTGTGTGTACCTGCTGGAAGGTACTGAGGGAGGCCAAGATGGACCCTCCAATCCAGACAGAGTATTTCCTCTCTGGAGGGGCAACGACTTTGATCTTCATGCTGCTTGGAGCCAAAGCAGTGATCTCTTTGCTCATTCTGTCGGCGATTCCAGGGAACATTGTGGTTCCACCACTGAGCACAATGTTACCGTACAAGTCCTTCCTGATGTCGACATCACACTTCATTATGGAGTTATAGGTGGTTTCATGGATACCAGCATTCTCCATACCAATCATAGATGGCTGGTAAAGAACCTCAGGACAACGGAATCGCTCTGATCCAATGGTGATCACTTGCCCATCAGGTAGCTCGTAGTTCTTCTCAACAGATGAGCTGGTTTTGGCTGTCTCGAGTTCCTGCTCGTAGTCAAGAGCAATGTAGCAAAGCTTCTCCTTTATGTCTCTGACAATTTCACGCTCTGCTGTGGTGGTGAAAGAGTAACCACGCTCGGTTAGGATCTTCATCAGCGCATCCGTGAGGTCACGACCAGCAAGATCAAGACGTAGGATAGCATGTGGAAGTGCATACCCCTCATAGATAGGAACAGTGTGGCTCACACCATCTCCAGAGTCGAGCACAATACCTGCACATCCACAATTCAAGAAAGGCTTTATGTTTTGCTCTGCAAAAATGTACAAAGATCGAAGCTATACACCATAAGGACACAAAAGCGCTACACTCACCGGTAGTACGACCACTGGCATAAAGAGAAAGAACAGCCTGAATAGCCACATACATAGCAGGGGCATTGAAAGTCTCAAACATGATTTGAGTCATCTTCTCACGATTAGCTTTCGGGTTAAGCGGTGCCTCGGTAAGTAGAATAGGATGTTCCTCAGGAGCAACACGGAGCTCATTGTAGAAAGTGTGATGCCAAATCTTCTCCATGTCATCCCAATTGTTGACAATTCCATGCTCAATAGGGTACTTGAGAGTTAAAATACCTCGTTTGGATTGAGCTTCATCGCCAACATAAGCATCCTTTTGCCCCATCCCAACCATCACACCGGTGTGACGAGGACGACCCACAATACTAGGAAACACAGCTCTAGGTGCATCATCCCCAGCAAAACCAGCCTATTCCAATACAAAAGAACATCATCATCTTAAACAAAAAAAAACAAATGCTACATTGTTCATAGGATCATCAATCAAAAATTGAAAAAAAGATGAAAACTTTTGTCAAAAAAAACAGAGAGAAAGAATGACACACCTTAACCATTCCAGTTCCATTGTCGCAAACAAGAGGTTGAATGTCTTCACCATCAGCCATTTTCTTCTACCTTTATGCAAAACCAAACATTGTTTAAAGATCAAATTTTTATCAACAAATAACAATCCTTTTTCACCAATACAGATACAAAGAACAATCCTTTTTCAAAGACAAATCAATACAGGACAAAATGGAAGAAGAAGAAGGATATTCTGGATCCAGAATCATGTAAATATTATAAAATTCAATCAGAAAAATTATATTAAAGACATTTGAAAAACATGAGTCTTTTGGTTGATTAAACAAATAACAAATGGTGTAATGAACATACGCATGAGTAAAATCGATAAACAACAGATCGAAAAGATTAGCTCAAGACACCCAGATCCAAAAGAAACTCAGAAACGGATGAATTGAAATCGATGCGGAATCAAAAATCAAACGTAATTGGGGGGTGTGTTCGAAAATCACAACAAAGGGTCTCAAAAAGTACCTGAAATCGAGAGGAAAAAAAGTAGAGATAGAAAAGTTTGTAGTGGCTGGAAAATGAAAGAGGGGAAGAAGAAGAAGGGAGGAGGAGGAAGGAAGGATTGAAGGAGAAGGGAATGGGAGGAGTAAATATAAAAACGGGTCCAAAGGCTTCGACTTCGGCTCACCTTGTTTTCCGGTTCTATATTTCATTTCAAATCCAGTCCCCCAAAACAATAACAACTTGAAATGACGGTTTTACCCTTTTATTTTTGAAAAATATTTTTGTAACTATCAATTTTCTGTAAAGGCTATAAAACCTCATAAACCAGACTCCATCAAATCGGAGTAAATAAACAATTCATTTATTTTTTTTACATAGTAAACAAGAATAAGCAGACCAAAAGTTTTAGGTGGTAGTAGTGTCTACATAAAAAAAATATCAAGGAGTGCAAACT